GCCACCACCGGAGCTGTGACAGCCGCTGCTCTGCCGGGTGTAGCGCTCCTGTGAGTGGCACTGGTCCCTGTCCTGACGGGAGCACATGGCTGAGTGCTGGGTGTCCTATGGAGAGAGAGGCTGTCAGGGGCTGCCACGTGTCCCAACCACCCCACAGCTCCCCATGCCCACCCCATTTGCAGCCCCAACCCATCAATGCTACCCAGGGTCTCTGGATCCCTTTGGAAGGCTCTGGGTCCATTGCGGTGCCCCATGGAGGATCAGCTGGATGCCACCTCCTCCCTTTCACTCTGCTATCCCAAAGCATCCAATGCTTGCCTTTAACCTACGCTCCATATCATCCCCAAAGCTAAACCCATGCTGCTAGACTTACCCAAGCTTGAGAAGAAGGCAAGAGGAGGGAATGACAATCTCCAGGACAGGGGCAGTTTTATAGAGGTCCCAGATCCCTCTGCCCGGAAATGAGACAGCTCTCTGTCACTGCCATCTATTAATTTCATACCCAATCCTCATCAAAACGCCCTCTGTTTACATCTCTTGCCTGACTCATTGGAGATTGGTATCACTCCATTTTTTTTATCTGTTTCCTGTGCCACATAAGTATCTAATTGTCAGCCTCACCTGTTCCTAATAGGGAAACCTGTGGGTGCCGGGGTTTCCAAAGGCTCATCTGTTTGGGGTTTGTTTTGTAAATCAAATCCAGGCATAATTATAGCCCCGTCCCATGAGGCTCCACTCTGAGTCTAATCCCTGCTATTGAGGCGGCCCTGGATATATCCAGAACTAATCCAGGCACAAAAGAGTGCGGAATTGCTCACTCTTCTCCATTGGGAAGCTTGAGCTCTGTTGGGTGCTTGATTTGAACAAAGCTGCTTCACAAAACTGTGGGATGGTTTGGGTTGGAAGGGGCCCTCAGTGACCAAGCAGCCCAATGCTGTGGGTGCATTCCCCTGCTCAGGCTGATCAAAGCCTCATCCCACCAGACTTTGGGTCCATCCAATGACAAGGACATCCATGAGCATCCTGGTCCAGGATTTCACCACCTCACAGTGAAATCTGTCTTCCTTAAACCTTATTCCTTTCTTAAGACCTCCTGGAATTCCTCTGGAGAGGTGTCCTAGGAGTTTATCAGTGGTCTTCTAGCTTCCCTCCCTGAGCTACAAGGCTGTGAGTTTCCCCCAAAGGCACTGAGCTGCCAGAAGGCACTCTTGGTGTTGGCTGGAAGCCTTGCTGTCACCACAGCTGTACATCAGGGGTCTCAAAGCAAAGCCCCCAACTCCTATCTGACAAAGACTCACTATTTCCACCATCTTCACCATAAGGATGGGAAAGACAGATAAATTTAGAAGTGGGAGGACAGAACCCCCTGGGCTATCTGAGCTGAAAGCCGATGTCTTCTTCAGAAAGACTTCAGCTGTTCTTATTTCACGGCACTGGGCACTGTTAGTGCTGCTGAGTTTTGGCCCCTTCCTGGGGGAGAAGCTGCTGGGTGGTTCCTGCAGGGCAGACGCCCACTGGTGGGTGGGAGCTGCTGGGTGCTGTGTTCCACACGTGGCCCTGCCTCAGCTGGGTGGGACGAGGGGTGAAGTGATGGTCCATAGGGTGTGAGCGGCTTTGCATCCGATGGGTGATGTCCATCCCAGTGGGCTGTCCCTCATCTGAGGGGTCAGTGGGTGGGAGGGTGGCAGAGCTCAGAGCGTGAAATGTGAGTGGTGGGTTCTTCCTTTGCTGCTCGCCACTGAAGTCATACAAATTCACGTAGAAACTGCTGGCAGAGATGGTGAGGAGCAATTAGCAGTGAGCTGGGCGGGCACCGCTGGGAGCTGCAGGCAGATCCACGCAGCTGTCAGAGCACTGAAGGGCTCCTGTGCATCCCTCCCACCACCCCAAGTGATGCCCCGTGACTTCAGCCTGAGAACAAATGCATTTCTGGGCATTTCTTTGCATTGCTTGAGCCTAGTGCAATCTGTTTTTGTCTTTTCCAGAGGGTGTTAGTGTCAGGCTCATCTTGTCCAGGTCAGGGGTGATGTACCGTGCAGGAGAGTTTATTGCTTTTTGGGTGGTGATGTCATTCATGCAATGAGAAAGGGCACACGAAGGCGTTCAGCATAACCATGCACGAGGTTTCATAACAGCCTGTGTTTTTCCTTGCAGTCGTTGGCCTCTCCCACCTGTCAGTTCAGCTTTTAGTTCAGAACAGAAACGACAGCAGCATGGAAGCAAAGAAGCCTCTGTCCTTCTTTTATTATTGTGGTTATAGGAAAAGGGCGACATAAATATCCAGAAACAACAAAAAAATCCAAGAGGTAAAGGAAAGGAATGTCAGAACATATGGCTAGCAAACACTTATGGGATTTTCTTGGGATTTTGAGGCATTGCTGCTGGTCCTGGACACATGGAACAGGCTGTGGGTTATGGCTGCACTCCAAGCTCCTCCTTCAGCCTTTCATAGGGCTGTGAGACCTCTGGGTGGGCTGCTTCCAGACCTGTTTCCAACACCCATCTCCCAGTCCCAGTCCCATCTCCCAGTCCCAGTCTCATTTCCCAGTTCCCAGTCCCACCTCCCAGCTTCCAGTCCCAGCTATGGAACCCCTTTCCTGGTGTCTCCCTGCCTTTCCAGCAGCACTGCCACATTCCATGTGTGCAGAGAAATGCATCCCCCTGTTAAGATACATGACACTACCAACTCCATAGACCCAACATTGCACCAAAACCCAGCTACATCCCTTGTGTATGAATGCGAAAACGAAGATGGGGAGCTTAAGGAGACACAGAGACAGGAGAGCTCTGGGACACATCATGCTTTATTGTGTTGCTGGCACACAGACTGGAGCACAGCCTCACGGGGCAGCAGGAGGGGAGCAGCAGTATTGCCCCTCAGGAGTAGGGGCACACAGAGGGGTCTCAGCAGGGCGCCCTGGGGAGTCAGAGCTCTGTGGGTGCTCCATCACTTCATCTTCTGCGAGGGCAGCTGGTGGATCTGCTGCTGCTGCTGCTGCTGCTGCTGGTAGTGATACTGGACCACAGGCTTCGCGTGGCAGCTGGAGCCGCCGGAGCTGTGACAGCCACCGCTGCCACCGGAGCTGTGACATCCACCACCACCAGAGCTGTGACAGCCACCACTGCTACCACTGGAGCTGTGACATCCACCACTGCCACCACCGGAGCTGTGACATCCACCACTGCTACCACCGGAGCTGTGACAGCCACCACCTCCACCAGAGCTGTGACAGCCACCACTGCTACCACCAGAGCTGTGACAGCCACTGCCACCACCGGAGCTGTGACAGCCACCACCGGAGCTGTGACAGCCGCTGCTCTGCCGGGTGTAGCGCTCCTGTGAGTGGCACTGGTCCTTGTCCTGACGGGAGCACATGGCTGAGTGCTGGGTGTCCTATGGAGAGAGAGGCTGTCAGGACGTCCTGCTTCTGCCTTGCCATGGAAAAGGAATCTGGAAGTTACATTTATGCTCTCCTCCCAGCTCCCACAGCCTTTAAACCTCAGAATCACTGAGCCATACAACAGGCTTGGAAAAGACCTTCATGATCCTCAGGACCATCAGCCTGCCCTACTGGGTGCAGTCAGAAAACTTGATGTTAGCACATCACCAATCTGCAGAGCAACTCCCAGCACCTCTCCCCTTCTCCGCACTCCGCTTTCCTGCAACATCCCCCTTCCCAAACCCTCCTCACCCCATCTCCCCATCAGGAGCACCCACAGGGCAGCCCAGGGATGCTGCAGGGCTCAGCCTTCTCCCAGCCCTTCCACCTCCGTAGAGGTTTGGCTGCTGCCCTGAGCTCTGCAGCCCCGCTGCTCTTACCGCGCTTCTCTGCAGTGAAGGGACGCGGAGACGATGAGGCTCTCTGGGACCACAGTGCTTTTATACCTTTTACCCACTCCGGAAGTGGAACACCTCCCCATTGCAGAACTCTATCTGCTTATTTCATTCATCAAAGCTTTTTTTTTTTCTTGCTCCCCACTCTTTGGGTTGCTGCATGACTCACCGTGGCTGCGCTGGGCATCGCCTCTCCGCGTTGGTTCGTTCCTGTGCTGCAGAGATGTTTAATTGCCAACCTTCCCCGTGCTGAGCCCCACTGGGGAGTGTGGGTGGCCCTGATTTCCACAAGGTGTTTTGGTGTTCACTGGAGCCGGGGAGAGCTCTGCCTTTAGTAGGGGAATAATCACAGAATCACTGCACACAGCTGTGGAAAGGTCTTGAGGTGCTCTCCGTGCCCATAAACCCATGAATGTGTCCAGAAGCACCAACAGTGCCTTCTGTACTGCAGACAGCTCTAGCCAAAGAGAGGTTTGAGTACAACCACTGTCAGCTGCTTTCTGCCAAAATCAGCCAAAATGGGACATAACTGGGGAGAAAAAGAGAAAGGGCAGCACCTATGGAGCTTTGTGCGGTCAAAAAAGTTCTCTGCTGCTGTGAGACGGACGAAAACAGGAATTAGGAATCCAGTTCGGTTCCTATTTTTGGAAGGTGATTCAATTTGGTTGACTTTTGGCCCGTGGCTGATGGTGGGGTGGTGGTGGTGTTGGTGGCTGTTGGAGGCCATGAGTGGAGCACCCATGGGTGCTGCCCCCGGGACTTTCCCTAAACCTGTAGCAACATCATTTCTGGAGCTCTTTTCTCCGCTCCCCAATTATCCTGTAATTTGGCAACAAACCCATGGGTTGTTCAGACAGATGCATGGACCCACAGGAGCCTCGAGGCCAGGCACCAGGGCTAATTGCAAGCAATGATCTGAGATACTCCTTGCACCTTCCCTACACCTCTGCTGGGGGTTGGGGCTGTGCCTCACATCACAGGTCCAACGTTGTCCTTTCTGTAACTATTCTCAGGTGGCATTTTAGTTATTATGCAGGTAGTAAATGCAAGACTAAAAGCAATATTGCAAGCAGACAGCAGGAATAAGAAACTGCTTGAGTTTTGCCAATGCAAAAGTGCTTGGAAAGCATGGGACCACCAGCAGCATCATAGCACTTCATGGAAACGCCCCTCCAGCCTAATGCCAGCTCCTGTAAGGGGGAACTGGTGCCCAAACCTTTGGTTTTGAGATCCTGATGGTTCCCAGCACCAGAAAACCTCTGACACGTTCACTGCTGCTGGAACAAGGAGGGTTTTTAGAAAGGTGGAGGGCAGGGCCGCGCTCATGAATGAGGCATGCAACCCAAATGCTTCTTTTGTAATGCTTAATTGCTATTACGAGCTAAAACAGTGTCAGGGCAAACCGTACTCAGGTTGGATCCCTTCTTTTTATTTATATTCTCTCGTCAGAAGCAGAAATACTATAAATATTCTCTGTGAAAAAAATGAAAGTATGCATTCAATGCAATTTGTTGCTGTGGGCATCGTGCTGTGCTCAGCTCCTCCCATCTCTGTCGATCTGATGCTGCTGGGGGTCAGCAGCCCTGAGCACCTCCAGGTTCTGTGCACGTCCACCTCATGGGAACAGGGCTGCAGTTGGGCTGAAGGAAGAGCTGAAGGAAGGCTGAAGGAATCAGTGGCTCTTCCAACCAACGTCGCATCCCCACACCAATGGTGGATGCCTGTGAGCATCGTGACACACCTGGGAGTCGTCTTATCAGGGCAACAACCATTTATGTCACAAATGCCAATAGCAGACCAATAAATTACACAATTTGGTTTAATTACCTGTTGAGAACGAATTTATCAGTTCATCTCGTACCGCCGGTGTCGCGCTACACCCCTGGGCCAGCCCAAGGTTCTCCAAGCACTGCTCAGAGGGGTTCTGGAGAGGCTGCCCAGGGGTTTGGCACTGGGAGGAGGGATTTCAACCCCCATCATGGCCCTAGAGCAGTGCTGTGGCCATAGAGTGGGTCCCAAAGGCTTGAGTGTCACAGCCAACAGAGTCTCAATGAGAGATTTGGGGTCTGCAGCTCAGTGGGAAGGTGACACGGGAGGGGCTGGGGCTGTGTGAGCCAGACAGCATTTGTTCATGTCCATTCTTCCTTATTTCATTAGGAGACCCCAAAGGAAAGGACGGCAGTGCCTACCCCTCAGCTCTGTGCAAGGCACCCTGTGGTGCCTTGATGTGAAAGAAAAATCACGAACGCAAAAGTCTCAAGTGCTGCAAATTGCAATGGCTCGTTTATTGATAGAGATATTGATAGAGAGAACACAGAACACCGCGCCAGCGTGAACACGTGAATGCATTTCTGATGCCCACAGATAAACCCATCAGAGATTCAAGACTGGCCAGGGTGGGGGAAGGGGGAGGGGGGAAGAGAAATTATGCTTTATGAGATCTGGGAGATAAGCAGTGATTCCTGGACTTGTTGCAGAACAGCAGGTGGTGTCCTGGTCACTTCATATTTGAGGATACTTGATAAATTTGCTGCTGGCAATCTTGTGGCTTTCCATGGCAGGATCCCCCGCTGCTCCCATGGCATCCAGATCCAATGCCCCCATGGCATCCAGATCCACTGCTCCCATGGCATCCAGACCCACCAGTGCTCCTGTGGCATCCGGATCCACTGCTCCTATGGCATCCACACCCACCACTGCTGCTATGGCACCTGGATCCACTGCTCCCATGGCACCCAGAGCCCCCGCTGCCCCCTCCACACCCCTCACTGCTGTGGCATGAGGACTGCTCCTGTCGGTGGCACTGGTCCTTGTCCTGGCGGGAGCACATCTTCGCAGACCTGCAGGAAAGACCATCACCTTTGAGATTTGCAAAGGCAAGATTGTGGATCAAGAACAGATGCTTATTATAGGCCTGGTTCTTGGAGTACGGATTAAAATTAGCAGTGCTCATCGCCCTCCATGCCCTCTCTTGAGCAAATCTTTCACCTCAGTGCTTAGCAAAGACAGAAGGTAGATGTTAAAGCACTCAGGGGTGAGTGAGAAGTAGTAGCCAGACAGGATCTAGAGCTTGACTGGAAGATTCTCACCATCGGCAGTTCGAAGCAGTAAATTCTGAGTTTACCTCTCTTCTCTCTATTATTTCCATACAGGAGAAGATAAGGAAGCCACAAGGAATAAGCGAATGCATCCAGAGAGAGAAGTGGAGATGAGAAGTGTGAGAGAAGGCCAAGAATTTGAGATAAGGACAAAGCTGGAGAGCACGTAAAGCACAGCACTGTGAGGAGCCAGACTTACTCTGTTCAGTGGGAGCACAGGAGGAGGCGTGAAGATGAGAGAATGAAGAGAAATGGTTACGAGGTCTTTTATAGGGAGCTGGAGTTTTTCCTCCGGAAACAAGGCGAGCTCCAGCAGGGGAGATTCAATGGTTCACCACCACGGATGCTTTGCTAATTGGAGTTTTTCCTCTCTTGTTTTGACTCACGGTGTCACGAATGGATCAATATCCTGCCTTTGGGATCACCATTCCTTGTGTTACTCCATAAAAATGCTAATTGCCCTCCACGCCTACTGTTCATGTGCAGGGATGGGAGGTTCTGGATGGGCTTGCTGCATTCCCCTGAAGTATCCGCCTAACACGAAGCTGCCATGAGCCCAAGCTAGAAATGTGAACACATAGGAATGAGGGAAATGGGGTGGGATGTTGGATACGGGATCCTCTGGGCTGCCAAGGAGTCCAGCGATTAAAAGAGGCCTGAAATCAGCAAAAAACTACGTGGTGATGTGTAGGAAAAAATGAGCGTGTTTCAGCAGCTTAAGAAAAAAATTATGTAGGTTGTGAGTGGGCGAAGGAGGCAAAGGGAATTAGGAATGCAGGTATGAGGACACGATGGGAGGTGAGTGCAGAGATGTCCTGTGAATGAGAACATCCTGCAGTGACCCTGGGGCAGCAGGGCCAGCCCTGGTGGGTTATGAAAGGAACGGGGAGGCCTATGGGGTCAAAACCCATCCCTGAGGTTTGGGGCTTTGGGGTGGGAGGCTTTGAGGCACACTCCCACTGGATGCAGTTGGAGTGATGGGAATGGGGCATGCAGGCAACAGGACCTCAACTGGGGCATGGGAGTAGGATCAGAGAAATGTATTTCTGAGTAAAACAGTGAAGAAGCACTAGAAGGAGTGCCGTGATATTGTTCACTCAGTCCTTCTGACCTGAAGGAGAGCCTTTAACCTAAACAGAGGGAATTGAAAGTCCTATAGGAGACAGAGAGCACCCAGGCAGGAGGGTCAGGCATCCATCCCATCCCTGCAATGGGATGCTAGGACACGTTCCCAGTATCGATAGTGGTCCCCTTTCTCCACTTTTAACTGAACTAAAAAGAGGGAAGGAATGTATTGTGACGTTTCTGGGCTCTTCCTCCTGTCCTCCATCCCCACCTGTAATGGGGATCCTTGTCACTGCCCATCTGGGAGTCTGCCTTGGGGAGCAAAGTGCCTTGCTGCCTACAGAGAGCACCAGGCCTGATCCCAGCCAGGACTCTAGA